CTCTCTCTCTCTCTCTCTCTCTCTCTCTCTCTCTCTCTCTCTCTCTCTCTCTCTCTCTCTCTCTCAATACTCTCTCTCTCTGTGTGTGTGTGTGTGTGTGTGTGTGTGTGTGTGTAGCACAGCTGCCTATAAACGAGGATGGCTTAGCATACTGACCCCTCTCCCTTTTGCTTGCAGTATCAATTCTCTCTCTCTCTCTCTCTCTCTCTCTCTCTCTCTCTCTCTCTCTCTCTCTCTCTCTCTCTCTCTGTGGCATACTGCGCACCACACGGGCCTGCAGGGCCCGACCAGGCGGAACAAGGGCCCTCCAGGCCCTGTGTCATTTCAGCCTAAAAAGGAGGGCCAGTTTTAGGCCCTCTTAAAGTCGACCCTTCCTGAAACTTAGGCGCCAGACCAGGGATATGCGCAGGCCATTTTTAGGCCCGTTTCAAGACAACCTTTTTTTGAACTTGGGCGCCAGGGTCTGGCACGATTCGGCATTGACAAGAGCAGCCTCCCAGCCGGACCAGTGCTATATAGTGCTGGTCCCCCCGGGAGGGCACAGGCAGTTCAGGAGGCAGGCTTCGGCACTTGGCAGCAGCACTTGGCGGAGCGCTGCAGTAGTAGGAGATAGGAGTAGTCTTCAGCGCTGGGCGCTCAGAGTAGCATTAGAGAGAGAGGAGAGTGGTGGAGGCCAGCGAGACTTACCTGGGAGCTTACCTGTGGCACCATCTCTCCAGCTTCGTCCTCGATGTACCTGCAACCAGGCACCACGTTTCGCAGGTTAGTACCTGGCACTGAGAGAGAGAGAGAGAGAGAGAGTTCTTCTTCTTCTTCCTCTTCCTCCAGTCCACCGTCTCTTCCTCACTCTCCACCTATCTGACTTCTCAGTATCGGCAGACTTAGAGAGAGAGAGAGAGAGAGAGAGAGAGAGAGAGAGAGATTTGTGACTTCAGGATATTGACGACATTGGGATACAGACTCAGCCTTGGGACAGAGACATTGATGGAAGACTATTTGGGATCGATATCAACGACATTGGTGTTGACGACATTCTCATCTTCTCCCTCCTTTCCGTCTGATCCCCTCCTCTTCGTCTGTGTATAATCTGGGCCTGGCGCATTCTTCTTGTGTGTAGTGCCAGGCCCCTTCACACCTTGCGATGATGATGATGTATGTTTGGTCTGCATTGCGACATTGATTGGTCTGATCATTGGTATTTTAGCCTTCCGCTGCGCTATCCTGTACTATGTGAGAGAGGTCAGTTCTTGTTCTGGTCTGCACCGTTACAGTATGCA